GATGATGATGATGATGATGATGATGATGATGATGATGATGATGATGATGATGATGATGATGATGATGATGATGATGGCGTCAGAATCCAACCGATTGGCGTCCTGAGATGGCTTGGGGTATACAGATGATGATTGATGATGTACACATAGTTCTATCTCCAAGGGGGGGCATCATGAGGCATCTATTACGGCATGGCATGTAGTTTTTGACCTGGTCCTTCAGGCGAGAATTTAACATAGATCCTGACCTCTAAAACAATTATCGTATCCACATCCTTGCTGCAAGCTGCTGCATCCTGTGCTACAAACCACCAATGTTCCAACTTTGTTGCTTCATGTTGTTCTGATTGTTCTGCATGGCCAACAGTTCCAGTGATTCCGAACTGTTCTAGTTAGTTGGTTGCTAGGTGGATCTATATGAGCAGTTACAAGCTGTTTGAGTCGCTCTCACTCTAGAGTAGTAAGATGTTGGTTGCGGCAATCCCAAAGGAGCAGGTGTCTGTTTTAGTCTGAACCTGCTAACAACCCCTGACATTTCTTGCTCACATCCTGCCAGCACTGCCGTTCAGTGCCGACTGAAGGGCAAGGCCACCGGGCATCGCCACGCTTCAAAGCGGCCGGATTGTAGGCACCCTGCGAGGCTGAAAGATGTCATCCGAGGCACCACCTGTGGAGAAATCCTGGTGATATTATCACATTTGCGTGTCTGCCGCAGTATTCCTGGTATCGAGTCGATTTGGGTGTTCCCTTTAGGGAGAAGTAGAAGATTCAATTGTTTTTTCGGAGCTGGGAGACATCCTCATGTCAGGAGTCTTGGAATAATACATTATAATACGATCCAAAATGGCCCTTGCTCACAAAGAACTGAAATAGAAATAACAACCTCGAATGAGTTGAGGGAGTGCAAGATCTTAATCTTCGTCTTCGGGGCCGGCCTATTTCAAGTACACCCCCCAATAGAACTGGACTTTCTCACAAATCCACATGTCACATCCTTGGATGAAACATGCCATGGAAGATCTTGGAAATCTTTGAAACGATGTACAGTAGTTACGCGGGGGGATCTCATGCCCTCCCCTGATGAAGCTATCTACGGCGACCTTCCAATGGCTTCACTGATTTGGAAGATGGGGCCCTCCGAACACCCGTTGCGAAATCGGTGTCTTCCCAAAACAAATCCCTCAAAGGACTGGAAATGCTCCAAACCAAAGAAAGGATCGAATATCAGACTTGATTGTCCTTCTCCAACGCGCAATTCGTTGTTTCCAATGTGTTTAAACATGCTTTAACATCTGCTGTGCTTGAGGTTGTAATCACCACGCGCTGGAACGGAACAAACCTCTTTAGTTTTTCTCTGCAGGCTTTTGTCTTCTTACTTCGGACAGAGGTGGGTAGAGGGTAGCATTTCAGCTCTGCATGGTGGTGCTGTTATGTCATATCGACCGAGCACGCAAACGGACCCAGGTGACCCAAATACCCCACGTGCCTGGACCAACTCACGTTGACCTGGCGCCATCGTTGGGCACAGCCATTCTTGTAAAATAGATAAGGTATGGATTGTAGGTTTTGAACACATCCATGAAGGAATTTCTGAACCCAGAAAATATGTACTACGTTCAAACTCTTTCAAATACCAAAACCGGTGTTAGTGGTTCCAGGTCTTCAGGTGCAATTCCTGTCCCAACGCAACTGTCTCTAAACTCAGTTTCAAATCCGCAATCAGCTTGGTTTCTATGATGGGCATGTTGAAATTCTCACCGCCAATCCGCGGATTGGCGGATGTTGACCATCTCTAAACCCATTGGGTGACGGGCGACCGCTGCTTTGAGCCGATTGTCTCTGCTGAGAGAACGTCTGTCTACAAAGGCTCTGCCTGGCGCCACCCATCGTCCACTGTATCCCACCAGGCAACTCCTGCACGACCCAATTGAGGTGAGTCATGGGTCACTGGTGTCGCTCACGTTTTTTCACCCCTTCGAGGTCCCTAAAAAAGGAAAAGCCGTAGAAACACTTGGTTCCACTCCGACTCCCTCGTGCGAAACGAACACCGTGGTCGTCAGTTTTTTGAATGAACACTAAGGCTGCGAATGATTGTGTGCAAATAAGTGGGAAAAATACCCCCGCTCAGGACTCTTTGGCTCCAACCCCGGACCAAAATCAGGCTAAGACAACACTTCTAGATAAACCCCACCATCAAAATCAGACTTCTCCTCTATGCAAAGGGTCTGTGAGTTTCCTATGTTTGTTCACAGAAAAGGGTTGGCTTAGTTTGACGTTAACGAGAATTGGTCTATCATCAGGGACTGAGATCCTGGTGAAGTCCGGCGCCTAGGGCACATCCTCAAAGCTTGTGGCACCGAATACGTACGGACCTAGAATAAAATACTTTACTTTGCTACATGTTGAACATCTAGGGATTTATGCTGTTCTTCTGACTCTTGATGGATACTTAATTATATATCATGTACTGTCTATCAATATCAGTGAGACAGTAGTCTCACTACTGGATACTGGTATTGCATCATCTCACTGTAGTTTGGAGATTATGTAATACAATACAATAGTCTCACTGTAGTCTCACTGACTGTAGTTACATATGTATACATATACTAATTTACATATAGTCTCACTGTAGATTTATAATCCAATATAATACAATGAGTTCTGTACAATATAATGATGGATAGTTACATATACTGTAGATGCAATACAATACTGTCTCCTCTTTCACCTCCACGAACACGCCGGTCGTCCTGGGCATCTCCAGCGCTGTTTGCGGAATCGCCTTCCGATGGTAAGGCCAGGTGTCGGGTGCCTCCGTCGCAAGGACAGCGATCCATGGTGCTGAAGTGGTGAGTTTCTTGAGGTTTTTTTGGGATGGTTTGGGATCTAGTTTGGGGATGAAAATGTTTGGTTAGTCAAACATATACCTGAGCGGCATTTGAGCAGCATGTGGTGAGAGGGTTCCGCTTTCCTGCATCCATCAAACAACCTGTCACGCAAACGTTTGGCCTTTCCGGATGGACCCAGCAAGGCATAGTGGAATGACAGTCATTCTGGCGTTACTATGAGTTTTACAATGAGTTTTAACTTTGCCAGCATCTTCTGCGATCGAATTTTTCACTTTGTGCACCTGTCATTTCATGATTTTCATGGGTACATGCACTGCATGTTCTTCTTTTTTCACCTGCGTTTGTTTCAACAATTTCCCATCACAAAACATGGCGTAAAAACATCTCCAAACCACGGCGTTGCTTTTCTCACAGACCGAGCTTCGTCACATACTCAGACAGAAGGAATCAGCCCCCAAATTCCCAGCTGAGAGAAATGCAATTGGTGATCTTCAGTGGTGAAAACACGTCTCCCATTTGCAATCAAACATGATTTCAATGTCTTTGTTTAGCACCAACAAGAAGTATAGTATAGTTGTTGAACCTCCACGTGCTGCAAACATGGAACATCCAAGTGGTTTCCAAAGCTGCGGAATTTGGAAGCAACACGCCAATGTCAATAAGTCACAATCAACAGCTTGTCGACGTCCTGTCTCTTCAAACTTTTTGCTCACCCTGCACGGCCAGAAGGGTCTGCTGCTGATTGAACAATCACTACAACTGTTCTGAAAACCTCTACCCACCCACCAACCCGCCGTCTGACCCACCCACCCCACAACTAAACAATGCCACACATCTAGCCGGCCAGCCCGGGTTTCTTGCACCTTCGGCATCTCCGCATCCGCTGGACGCGGCTTCGCTCGCTCTAGCAGCAAACCCCTCCCCTCTCACGTCGGCCCTGGAAGATGTCGTCTGAGACCGCAGCGCCATAGCCTGCCACGTCTGGATCCACAAGGGAGTGATTTCCGGCGCCGGGACGTGGCTGTCGGATGCGACGGCAGTCCATGGCAGCGGGCGAATCCAACAGCTGAGTCCCAGTCCCAACATCCACATCGCCCTAGGTCAGGTCCACGTACTACGCCGGGGGAGGCTCCGACTCTGGCTTTGGGAAAGCCGTTGCAGGCGATGTGAAGAGTTCTTGGGATTCCCAGATGATTGAAACATCTTGAAACCCATCCCATACTTCTGCCTGACTAGCATGGCACAAGGTGAATGGCCCTGGCTGGAAAGAAGCATGAACAATTACACTGTCCATGTCTATTCACCATGTCGGCGGAGTTCCGTCTCAGTCGTCAGATTCGGGACTTCCCGCGTGGCCTGCCGGACCAAAGGCGCCGGGGCTGTGGGAGTCGAAGAAGCGGCCCGCCGCCTGGTCCAAGACGCTGTCCTCGGGGACGGGTGACGGTCCGAGTAGTGCGTATGGGTCTAGGTGCGTATAGATGTCATGCGAAGCGGAGTCGGACAAACACAAAACACGGTCAAATAGAAACCAGCTTTATTAATCTTTACTATAGGGCGTTTCCGTGTTTTGATGTCGGGGTGGCTCTCGAAGTGACCAGTTAATACAAAATACGAATCTGAACTCCTGGCGGGGAGTTTGCAGGGCTCAGAGGGTACTGGGAGTGAGAGGTGGGAGGTAGTTCAGTTCAGGGTGGTTGAAGGGTGGGATATACAGATTGTTCAGCAGTACACCAATTACAGTGGATGGGCCTTCCGCCTTCCTCTCTGGTTTTCATTGTCTGTCTAGCAATTTGTGATCCCCCACATCGCAACGTGGATTCAGCAGGGTGTCCAGTGTTCATGAAATGTCCGAATCACATGTTCATGATCTGTGATGCCAAGCTGGTCCACACTGTAAGACCAAAAGAAACGAAGAAAGCAGTGCAAGCACACACTGGTCCGTGTCCACACCCCTAAGGACCACGCTTCGTCCTTCGGACGAACGATTGCGGCGTGTTCCGTTGTCTCACTCCTTCTCGTTGTTCCGAGCATCGGACATGGGCACCTTCGCCAAGGGGTCGTACTTGGCACCATACTGCCCAAAGGGGTCGAAGGAGGAGGCCTTGCGCCCATGATCCTCGGCATAGTCCTCGGTGGGCACGGATCGCGCAAGCGCGAGCGCAAACGCGGTTGCGCGATCTCCCGAGATCCAGGAGATCTCCGGAGAGTTCTTGAAGGCGATCGAGACTGCAGAACGTAGAAGACATCTGTGAGAAGCCACATCTGAAAGTGACCTCTCATTGGCGGCTGAAAGAAATCTCTTGTCGACTCTTGCGTATGTGTCGGACAGGCTCTGCTTCGCCCGGTGTGGCTTCCCGAACTGATTGGGTCATCCGACCCGGACCCAACGATTGGTGGGGAGATTCGTTTGAAACCAGGAGGAATCATTTGGTGAGTCTGAAACTTAACCTCTTAATGCCTGGTAACTGTTTCCAATAGTTCCCTAACACATACTAAAACCATATATGAACCCCTGGATAAGGCAACTGGCAAGATGATATATAGAGAGATAACAATGATTCATAAGCAATAGATATAATAGATATGATATAGAAACAAACAAACAAACAAACACCATCTCTTCTCGTCTCAAACCATCCAGGCTCGTTATAGAGGTGCCACGCGAAGGCTCCAGCGAGTGCGTAGATCAGTGGACCGCTGATCGCCAACACGAGCCCCACCACGTCCAACGACAAAACGCCAGTGATGACCTGCGGCTCAGACACACTGGGGCAGTGTGTCATCTTGGAAAGTGCGTCATCTTGGAATAAGGCAAAGGTATATATATTAATATACAAACTCAATGAATTACATACTTACACCTAATTTGCATATTAATATACATACAATCATACAATAGATCATGCCATGTCACATGCAGGGTTTTTTGTGCGCAGGCTCTGGAGAACAAGTCTTCAATCGATTGGGGGAAAAAAACAACACGTCTTCAATCAAGGTTGACTGCACATCTCACTTGCTTGAACCCACCATCCAGGTTTGGCGAATATAAAGGCCACATTCACTACCCTCACGTGGCGGGGGCCCCCCACGTCGCGTCCCAAGCACCGGGATGAGGTTGGAGATGATGGCCATGACGCCCAGGAAAAGGGATGTGAGGCCCCATAGGCAAACGTAGGTGATGTTCATGTCCTGGCAAAAAAAAAGCGTGTGTGTGTGTCATAGTATGTCGACTAGTATATGTCATTTCGTCACTTGTGGGTATGATCGGGTATGTCTCTTCCCTCAAGCACCTGTTTTTTTTTGTGGTAGTAAGTGGGAGGGGGACGATCGATCACGTCTGCCGGTGTCTGACCAGCTGGCGGTGTCCGGTGAGGTGCATCCAAAGTCCCAAAGAGTTGTGTTGGTAAAAGACTGGTGTCGGGAAGGTGACCCTGATAGTCTGCAACAAACAAACGCATATTATAGGCACCCTCAGCTTTAAACTGACAGAGTAGGAGCATCCTCTTGCAACATGTTCAAAGTTTCTGGGCCGCATGTTGGTTCAGGTGTTGGATTGGTTTTCGATGTTCGACTTTTTGTCGGCCGCTCCTGATACCAAGCATAGAGGCCAATGAATGCCGCCACCGCCATGTACAAGGCGTTCAGCAAGGCCGTCTTTAAGACCAACTGGCAAACACCTTCAGCCACCTGAGGTCATGGAACTCCCCAGCTGATCCGGTCGGATTAGGTGAGATCCCATGCTGAGTCCTCAACCTGACCGAGGACTAAGCAAGAGGCTCTGGGAAGTATGAAGTGTCTTTTCGGGATGGAGCAGCACGAACCCTTTGAAGGCGGATTTAGGAACTGTGCAACAACGAGCTCCATGGAAGGGGACTAGTAACCAGTACGACTTCAACATGTTTCAACCAAGGTTAGGATGTGAACTTTCAGATCCAAAAGAGGTGTCACATGTTGAGACAAACTTTGTCCCGGTGTGCTTTTTCTGTGCTCAAGAATGTAGGCAGTCGATATTGAACATTGGGGTGGCAGTATAATTACGTGATTGATATCAAGTGTTACAGCACATGATTTATCCTTCACATGTTGGGTAAACCTGTGCCAACTTCAAGTAACTCGGTGATTTTAGGTCGTGAACATCCTGTCCCGACAAGCTTGGCCATGAAGCCAACATTCCATTAGTATCATCAATCACCGGAGCCACAGACTCCCCGCCTGCAGCAGGATGATGAAGGCAAACCAGTGCCTCAAACCACGCGCGTACTCCGTGGCAGGGCCCACTTGGATGGGGATGCAGAAGAGCCAGTTCTTGTTGATCTCCTTAGAACAAGTGATTTGGCCTTTCGATGCCGCAGCAATTTGGTGACAGCAAGCATCTCCTGACGGTCAAAACGACGAATTCATAACAATACATCTCAATATGCTTCAATGACATTTAGATTTGTATCTCACACCATGTCACTCTACCACTCACTCACCTTCCCACCCGAGTAGCAAACTAAAAACACAAAGCGCACACAAAGCACCAAAACTACGCCCTGAACGAGCAGCTCCAGACATCATGCCCTGCCCGGCTTTCATAGTGGCCCACTCCACCGCGTCGGTCATGTCTCGTTCCCGAACAACTGGTGAGAGAAGTTCCCCACCGATACTTAAGGTCAAAGCCCGGGTTCGAGCCGGGCTAGAGCAAAAACCAAGAGAAGGTGCATGAACATGGCAGAAGTACACAGTACACAAGTCAAATCAATGGAGGATGTCACTCCTTCAATCTGTATGGTTCTGTGGAATTCCAAGTATGGAATCAACTGAACCACGTCAAACATGTATATGCAGAAGTTTGTCGATATCTTCAAACAGCAATTGACATGGTCAAGAACGACTGGACGTGCCTCTGCCGTGAAGCCGATGGCCAAGCCGTCTCGATGCTTTTGGGCATCCACTTCCTGCATCCACTTCGCGGGGTGCATGGGTGGACCATAGTGGACAGTTTCCCTCAACACTTAATACAAGATGTTGGTTCAAACCATGGCTTTTGGCTGCAAACATCTGCAACCTCTTTATATTATACAGCTTGTGGCATATGGAAGCATCTCGAATTCTCCTCCACCACCACATCAAAGGTCACGCCATAGGCATTTGGCGCATCAGGGCAGACCTAAGATGTGAGACGAAGCCCCTTTTTTCTTTTGGGCACGCACACGTCATGGACGTCATTCATCCACTCTTCAGGATCTTTTTACGCGTCGAAAGGACTGGGAATTCCCAGTGGAAAAGAGAATTCAGACTTCGTGAATTCCCAGTACATACCTGTCTTCCCCATCTTGGTGGGGCTTGTGCTAACATGATAACATATACTGTATCTAGGGTGAATCTGCAAGCTTTGGGATCTCAGCGTGAGGCATGAGTGACGTCATCTGGCTGGATGTCGCATCATGATGTATGTCGTATTATATACATGTATACATATATATATATATATGTTCAAAATGACTACAGTATATATATATATATATACAGATACAACATGATAAAACACATCTATATATTTGCGGCTGTCCAATCTAACTCTCTCACTTTCACACCCCAGGACCGCCGGCCCGCCGGCCCTCAGGACCCCGGGCGTTGTCACGCACTTCTAAGGGCTTGGAGACTAAGGCCAAGCCGCCACTGGCACGAGACACAGAAATCCGGAAATCCATGGAAGTCTAGACACAGCTATCTTGCTGTCTGGAAGATCTGGGCTCTTTCCAGATGTCAAAATCTCAAAAACCTGGCATCCTATCCTGTCCAATCCAATGCAACCAAAGATGCAGGGCCATTGGAATCACATGAGCAAAGACTTTGTCTAAAAAAAACAACAACATCTCAGGTTCCAGCCATGTTTTTTGTGTAAATCTAGATGGCCCTTGCCACCAGTTGCCACGTCCCCTCTATCGTCACAGTTTTCAACGGATGAACAGTGTCTATATTGAATTGAACTATTATGTCAGCAGATATGCATAAACAAAATTACAATGATGTACACATTAATTACACAAGAGTCGTCATCTACGTTCTGATATGCACATAATCATCCGTGTATGCTCTCAGCCCCCACCCTTCTTGCCTAGCCCCTCCTGGAATCCACACTTTCCCCAACTGCGCGCACCTTCCAACGGAGGAGGTCCGCAAGAAGGTGGTGGTTTCACCTTGCGGTCCCAACCATCAAGTGAGAGGCCGAGAGCAATGGCAGTATCAAGCCTCGTGCATTTCATCACCCGGAAGTGGACACTTCCTGTTTGAGAAAAGAATCGCAATGGGTGGATTGATGCCATTTGACTGCCCCTTTTTTCCATGTTCCAAAGTAACAAAAGGAGCTGTGCAGGACAAAGAGACCCTCCAGCTGTAGAGGGTGCGTAGTGAACAAAAACACGACTTCATCACTTTTCAGGAGCTGCGGAGATCCAAATCCCGGCTCCAAGCAGCGACGAGTCTCCTCTCCCCCCATCAACCCAAAAACCGAGGTGCAAATCCTCTCAGCGACTCGTCTTCGAATATCCGTCCTTAGATGATCCAACCGCCAACTCAAAAAAACAGCAAAAGTCCCAGTAGTTCACATGATAAAAGGCGACCAAAGGGGATATCCTGGAACGCGGGATCCCTATAGAAGAGGATCTTTACATGTCTACTTGCCAACCTCCGAGTGGGCTCTTTATTTGACCAGTGGTCGTATTCTGAACGGCGGTGGAGCCCTGATGTCTATCATCTTCTGATTTGCAAAAGATGTGCTTTCAGGTTTTCATGTGCCTCAGACCTGAGGCATGGCTTTTCACGGTCCCGAAAACGTGGTCTTCACTGCAGGATGCATGGCAGTCCATCTCACCAAAGAGGTCATCTGAACAAACGTATACACAATTCTTGTGCACCTAGCCCGTGATCTGATAGATGCATATATGGTATAGTGAATAGGTACCCTTCATCCAACCGTCTCTCCAGCACAATCTAAAACCACCACTGTCCTCGTATCATCTCGTATCCACCACAAAGTTACCCCACCCCAGCCAGCTCTGAAGGTTTCCCAAGCCTGGATGTTTTCAGCTTCCAAGCATTCCACTTTGCCTTTCCACATGGCTTTCATAGTGTTTTCATGGCAAGGTTCGCTTCTCCAAATAGTTTGTTGTTTTCGCTACCTCACTCAGAAGCCTCCTTGATCCGAGCATCTTCACGGCCCGGCTGATGAAGGTCTCGTGGAAGCGCAAGACCGGTGGCGCGGACATCATGGTCTGGGGCGCTGACTCACGGGTCAGTGCACGGGTCAGCCGGCGTTTCAGGCCATAGCATGGACCGCATGGAAGGCATCTATATAGACCAATCAAATCCAATAAACACCATATAACAACATTATATAGTCAGCAATAAACTCCCCTACACCACATATGGACCTCCATTGGACATGCATTAGATGATCCTGCTCTTTATATATATATATATATGAGGGACGGTCAAAACTCCTTATTCTTCTTCAGCTAAAAAATGGACGTCATCGGTTTTGAGGTGGACCTTATCGTTTTACAGCGTTTTGAGTTCGTCGCATACTTATGACCATATACAGCGCTGGGGTTATCGGTTTTGAGGTGGACCTTATCGTTTTGCAGGGTTTTGTGCACAAACCTACCCCTCTTTACTAAAGTGGTCTTCGCATGTTTTGACCGTGGCTCATATATAAATAGTTGGATTGGGTTCCATGACTGAAAATGTCGGAAACCCTTAGGTGGTGGACCATGGTGGACCTGTTTGGTGGCGAAGGTCGTTTTGCCTGGCTCGGATGATGTGGCTGAAGGGTTCAAGGAAATCCTTTCCTCAGCTCAATCTTTCATAAGGCTAGCTGGTGCAGGACTCAACAAGTACCTGCAACATCCTGCAACGCAAGCTCAAGCTTCTGAAGATCTGCTAGGCTAACAACTATAATTACTATATACTTTCCACAGGCCCCAATGACCCGCAGCTTTTAGCAAAATACCCAGAAGCACAACTTTGTTGGCGTTTGCTGTTCGAAGCTTTCCATCCCATGTTGGCCACCCTCATTCTCCCACGTTCGGCCCAGCTGTGCGGAGTGGTGCTGGGAAGACCAAACCAGCTTGGTGGGTGGCGGTTGCAAGCTCCTGAGCGAACTGGCGCGAACTAGCCAGGACGGGCAGTCAACAGAGGTCAACAGCCACACGAGTGTCGCATGCACATGAAGCAAAGAGGTTCATCCACAGTGGTTCTGTACATATATGGCATATGTATGCATATGTGATATTATTAATATGAACAAAATGGTTGAACTATGTTGCACTGTGACTTCTTCAAGTTCATCCACGTCATTGGTTCTATAGAGACTGATCATGTGACCAACTCATTGATATCGACGTTGCCTGCTGCATCATGGCGGGTTCAAGAGGGCACAGATCTTACATCTGTTCTAATTACTGACATTTATTCTTGGTCTTGAGTATCTCGACCTAGCGATCTCCATGACGACAATGCCGAGATTACCGGCTCGGTACCGATTCGTGCCTTGCTGGTGCTGACTTGGCTTTGAAGAAGGAGTTCAAGGTGGTTCCTGGCCAATTGACAACCATCCGAGCGGGTCGAACATGGTCCAAGGTCGAAGGTGGTCCATCCCCTCCCCGAATCGGATCGGTCGTGGTGAAGAAAACGTGCAGATGTGTGCAGAACAAAAGTGTCTACATTGAAGGACGGACTTCTCCCTCAAAGAAGCTGTGCATGTTTGGCTGGTTTTGACTTGTTGCCTTCTACATAAGGTTTGCAGTAGTGCCGTCCTCTACCGTTGACTTTTGGAGAAAGAGACCTCCATGTACTCCTGCTGACCCCTAGTCCCTAGTGCTTTGCTCTGGCATCACTGAATTGGGCATGTGAAGGAATGGTTTCAACATGAGTTGGGTCTCACTCATACAGGCACATGATACGTGTCTTGAGAACCAGAATGGCCTACAATGGCCTACAGCTTCATGTTCACATACAATGGTTTCGTGTCTTGAGATGCTTCGTGTCAGAGTCATGTCTGTCTTTCAAACAATATCCCATGCCCTTCGATGAATGAACACATTTCAAGAAGAGACTTCCCACGCAGTGCCCAGCCTAAGGAGAGAGACTTCCTTAGGGTCGCTGAACAAAGGAATGAATGGCACCCGTTCGTCGTCCGTTCGCATGTCCGTTCGAAAAACCCATGTGTGGCCGCAGAACAGGGTAGCTGGAGGCAAATCTGTTCTTTAAGTACACAAATGAACAATATATGGACCTGGAAAATGTGAAAAGAATATGGTCGACCTATTCCATTTCAGAATTGGTGACGTCCTGAAGACCGAAGAACACAAGGAATATGGTTTCTTTCTTCGAACGCCGAGGGATCTTCCAGCGAACGCCTGAGTTTGGTGAACGCCAAGTGAAGGAGTATGCATACATTTGAGCGCTAGGATGCGCCAGGAATTAATAACCACCAGGGAGCGCAAATGTGCAAAAGTGAGTCATACTTCTCTAGCAGTCTGATCTTTCTGGGACCTAACACCAGTGATCATGGTATGGTTTGGTCAAGAGCAAAGTGATAATGGTATGGTATGGTTTGGCTACGGTGAATTGATCACCACCAGTGATCTTTCTGTTTGCTAGGACTTTTGCTAGGTATGGTTTGGTCAAACAAAAGAACTCTTT